GCTTTCATTTCTGTGCTGTTCCCAGCAGCCTGCTCGGGGCTGTGCTCTGCTGCACATGCTCAGACCTCCTGAAGTGACATCATTTCACATGGAGTAGGAAGCCTTGTCGTGTTCTTGCCTCAGCGTCCTCGAGAAAGTGCTGAGTAGGTGCAGGGGCCGTTACTTTGTGGTGCTGTGATGTATCTTGGAGGAGCAAATCCGTGCTGAGGGTTGAAGTGCAGCAGTGTGGGCTCTGAGCAGTGCGTTCCTGCCTCGCTGGAGATGCAGCAGTGGGGCTGCCTGGCCCCTCCTCATGTGATGAGTATTCGTGTGTCAGCAAAATCTCTAGATTGCTGTAGTCTGATTTCATGCTAAAATCAAGCTCAATCTCTCTTCTGCTTTTTCTCTTTCCAGTGTCAGTGCAAAAATAAAGGCCATTGAAGCCAAGCTGAAAATGATGGCAGAAAACCCCGACGCAGAATATCCTGCAGCACCCGTTTATTCTTACTTCAAACCACCCGATAAGAAAAGGACTACTCCTTACTCCAGAGCTGCCTGGAAATCCAGAAGATGATGCTTTAGGAGGGAGTGATGGTAGCAAGAAACACTGCTTTGTATACGTGGAGTGCTCCAGTGCTTTTGTACTTTGTAGGGTGGGAAGGACACTGCCACCTGAGCAGGGCACGGCTGGCCAGCCACAGCCTGGCCCACCCGAGGGGCCGCAGCCCCTGCCAGAGCAGCTCACAGCTGAAGGCTGTTCAGAGAAGTAGGTTCCCCTCAAAGCCTCTGATGAACACGCAGACAACCTCTCGTTAGCGTGCATTCATTAGCCAGATTAGAAACAGTAACCAGCGTACGGAGCAAAGCACATCCAAAAATACTCCATTTAACTGATTACTTTTTAAGTATTTTTGAACAAAAAGTATTCCGGTTCATGTTTTAATGGAGGGGAAGCACTTGGTTTTGATTAACGTGCTGTAGTTACCATGGAAAACTTTTTCATCTCAATAAAACTCATTTTAAATAGATTTTGCAACACTTCTAGTGACTGTGCATGCAATATTTTATATGCACCAGAGCCAGTTGATTTCGCATTTTGATTTGCAGACTTCACAGTGTTACTTTAAGATGTGATACCCTTAGGCTAATGACACAGCACAAGTATTTTCAGTGTCATTTAGGCTGTAGGTGTGTGCCTCTGTGTAGGAATTGGTGTATTTACACGCCACTGGTGTGCTGTGCCCTGAGCTTCAGAGTTTGTGTTCAGTGATCCCCATCAGAGGTAGCTCCTCCTGAGCCAGATGTGACAACATGAGAGTAACTGCAGCCTCTGAGACACCTGCCAAGCCCGTGACCTCAGTGTTTGCCCCCCATCCAGCCCAGCTTTGGTTTCCACTGGCTGGTAAAGGTGGTCAGCTGCCTCTTGGTGTGTTTGTGGTGAACTGGTTCTGCTGTTAGCTGGGATTACCTGCCCCAGGGGCTGAATCCACAGGTCTGAGGGATGGCTCTGGATCTGATCTGCAGCCCATTTTCTCCCTAAATATCTGCAAAATAGAAGTCTGAGGAAAAAAAAACCATTTTCCTTTGTGCACACAGTGCTGTGCGTGCATGTGCCAGGGGGATGTCAGAGAACACGTGCTGGGGTCCAGGTGACACTGATCTCATTTTCCAGTGTGTGCTCTCCCTGCTCCCATCAGACCTCTTCGGTCACTCTGGAGTTGCTTCCCCAGTCTGGTTAATGGTGGTCTCAAACAAGAAGGGGGAGACAGTTTTTAAGGAGCCCCGGTTTGTGCACGCAGGAGCTGCTCAGGGAGGAGCTGCAGAGCCCAGGGAGGTTTGTATTCCCTCAGCAGCACACCTCCCTCCAGGCAGAGCACGCTTCCTGCTTCCCAACCCAGCACCTGGAGCGGAGCCGTGCGTGTCTGGTGGAGTGACTGTTGAAAGATGAATTGTTCAGAAGTAGGTCTCATGCTGTTAATGTTTGCTTCCTAGTTTTTGGGTACCTGACTAAAGGGAAAAGTCATATCCTTGGGTGTTTGTACCCCTCTGAGTGTCAGGAACACCGGTTTACATTTCTCTGTGAACAGCCTGTGTTTGTTCCTGTGTGCTCCAACATTTGTAGCTCTCTGGGTCTTTATCTGCATTGTTTAGAACAGCTCTCAAGTCTGTTCCCATTAGGAATTTAGAAAATACCTGGATTCAAAGCAGGTGTGTAGTTGTGCTCCCATCAGAAACATACTTTGATATTTATTTGTATTGAAATACAATTTGTTGAAATTCTCACGGCCCTAAATAAACATTTTAAATGCATGTTTTCCTCCAGGAAAGCGAGGGTGGCACAAGCAGGAAGTGAGTGAGGGTGGTAAATGCTTGGCATCAGCCGAAGTGCATGGATAGAACCCGGGTACAATGGCATCAGTCTTTTTTATTTTAATTGTTTTTTTGCACTGCCACTGTCACTAACAGAAGTGCCTTGTCTGCAGCTCAGCCAGACTCAGACCTGGGGGAGCCTTATTGCAGGTCAGTGTTTGTGTTGGTCGTTGCTGCTGCCGCCGGCCCGGCAGGCGCTGGTGCTGCCGGCGCTTCCCGGGAATGCTGTGCTTCCCACGGCTCTGCAGCAAATCCAGAGAGTTCCTAACCCTGGAGCTGAGAGGAGGTAGATGCTCAGAAACATGTTTTCATGAGCATCAGACCTGGGACTTGGCATGAAACCATCATAAAACAGGTTTGAAGGGCAGCGGGGAACACGGCATCGCTGCAGCCGGATCTGGAGCTGTAAGGAGGGAGGTTGGCAGCTGGTGGTGGGCAGGAAAGTGGGGCTTGGTGCCCAGCTTCTCTGAAGAGGAATTGGGCTGTTTCTTGCTTGCAGCACATAGTCCTGTCCTCTGAGGGGCTCCTTGCTTCCCCTGTATTTCCAGCAGGTCCCTGGGAGTAAGGTGGGGTACCGAGGGCAATATTCACAATGTGGGCTTTTCCTCAGTATTTCTGCTATTCTTGTGCCTGTGGTGACAGTCCCTCACTCGGGATGGGTATGGAATCATGCCTTCACTGTGAGAACACAGAACATTCCCAACCCCAAATTTTAGGATTCTGTATGAGCTACTGTTTGACACACTGCCACCTCTTGCTACCTTGTACGAGCTCCAGCTCTGGTGGAGGGAGCACATGGGGGTAAGTAAGAGTGTGGATGGAGTTGGTGCTGATACCCTGTATCCACTGCTTTGCATTCCCCAGGCACGGCCCAGGCCCTGCTCCTGGTGCAAGGGGCACATTGGAGATCTGCCCAGTCTCAGCAGTGAGGGCAGGAGACCTGCTGCCTGCAGAGGCCAGGAGATGATCCCAAGGCTGGGGAATGGCCGAGGCTGGGTTGGAGTCACCCTGTTCCTGAGCCTCTTCTGACTCTGTGGGGCCCAGAGAGCCTGGTCTTTAATGAGCAGCACAAGTGTGAGTGGGGCTGGGTGGTACTGGGCCGTGGTGCTGAGCCATGGCCATCACAGCCCACCTCACTCTGCGATGGAAACAAACCCTGCATGGCCCTGCCTCGACTGGCTCTGCGTAGGGGGACAGACAGCTTTCGTGGCTGTGTCCATGAAAACTCCTACGTGTTTCTTCTGGAGCAGCCAGAGCTAATTGAGACCCTGCCAGCGAGAACGAGGGGTTTAAATTGTTCTTTCTCAGCATCCCGCCTCTGCACTTGTCCATGTTCCCCCCATGCTCGGGCCTCTGCGGAGCTGGGGACAGATGGGAGGACGAGCTGGTGGGCCTTGGGCTCTGTTTCCTGGGGGTTTCTCTGGCTTTTCTGCAACCTCGATGTTTAAACCTAATGCCTTGTATTTATTCTAAAATGGCTTTCATCTGATTTCCCTCTCGGTTAACAATTTAGCTGTCACAGTCAATAACGGCGAGGATCCATCCCCGGCCGCCATCAGCTCACGTTACCGTCCTGCAATTACCCGGCGGTGGCACCGCTGCCGGGGCTTTGCTGGGGAATTATCAGGTTACTAATGAAGCCCGGGCAGCGGCGGGCGGCCAGACGCCGCGGCGGTGGGCGCGATCCCCGCCGCCGCGACCCGCGGGGGGCTGCGGGGCCGTCCCGGACCGTGCGCCCCGTCGGGGCGGGCAGCGGCGGGGCAGCACCGGGACGAGCCGGACCGGGGGTCCCCCCTGCCCTTCCCTTCCCTGCCCTGCCGTCCTCGCCGCGCCCGCGGGCGGTGCCGCCGCCGCAGGTAGCGGGGCCCGGCGGGGCGGGCGGCCCCCGGGGCGCGGCGGGGGGGGCGCCGCTTCCTGCCCGGCCCGCGGCCGCCCCCGGCGGGGGAGCGGGGCCGGCGCGGTTCCCCGCCCGGCTCCCCGCCCTTCCTGCCGCGGCCGCGGGACGCGCCGCCCGCGGGCACGGAGCGCGGCGGCGGCGGGCGGAGCGGGGCGCGCCCGCCCCATGCACCGGAGCCATGGGGGCGGGCAGCCCCGGGGCCCGGGCCGCCGCGCCCCGGCCGGCGCCCAGGCGGGCAAGGTGAGCGCTGCCGCCGCTGCCGTCGGGGCCGGGAGCGGGGCCGGGGCCGGGCCGGGGCTGGGGCCGCTCGCTGCCTCCCGCGCCGGAGGGGTGGATTTTTCCATCCCGGCGTTTTCTGGGGCGTTTTGTGCTCGGCGGAGGGAGAGGGGGAAGAATTTCGATTTTTAATTACTACCATTAAAAAAATCAAATTTGCAATTCTTTGGGTGGCCTGATGGATTCCCTGATTGACAGCCGGAATTGACACTCTGGTACCTCTTATCTCGGGCATTTACGGCAATTTCTAATTGCAGGTAGTTTGGGGGGTTTTTCAGCGCCTTGGCTCGCATGGGAACCGAGCGATTACTTCAAGAGGCCCGGGTTAAGTGCAGGCAGGGGGAGAATTCAATCCACATTCAAATTGCTTCATTAAAGAGACGCAGCTTTTGTTGCAAAGGATTTAAATGGCCACTAGAAAGTTCTTATTTATTGTTTTGAGGCGGTTTATATAGGGTGCCCCGCGCTCGCCCGGCGCATGGAGCCGCAGCCTCCCTCTCCCGCTCTCTCCATCAAGGTGATGCCTCCGGAGCCGCTGCCCAAGGGGAGCGCCCGCTGTCTCGATCCGCACTCCCGCGCCATGGTAAGCGGGGCCGGGGGCTGCGGCGACTCGCCGGGACCCGCCGGGCCGGGGATGCGGGGTCGCACTGGGCCGGGGATGCCGGGAGCGGTGGGGATCCGCCGGGCAGGGGGCTGCGGGAACGCGTCGGGCCAGGAATTACGGGGTTCCCGCCGGGACCCTCCAGGCCAGTGTTGTCAGGGGTTTGTGGGTGCCCGCCGGGCCGGGGATGCCGAGAGCTTCGGGGACCCGCCGGAACGCTCCGGTTCGGGGCTGCGGGGAACGGCGGGGCCCCGGCTGACGGCCCCGCGGCGGCTCTGCCCGCAGTCTCAGCCCGACGGGGAGCCGCTGCCCGGCGCCCTGGAGAAGGAGGACGCCCGCTCAGCGCCCAGCACTCCGTCCACGCCGTCCGTCTGCTCCCCGCCATCCTCTTCCTCCTCCACGCCGTCGGCCGGCAAAAACGTCTGTTCCAGCTGCGGGCTGGAGATCCTCGACCGGTACCTGCTGAAGGTGAGCGGGGCGGGGGGCGGCGGGGGCGGCGGGGGGCGGCGGGTGGCCCTGGGTCTCAGCCTCTTCTCTGCCGCAGGTGAACAACCTCATCTGGCACGTCCGGTGCCTGGAGTGCTCCGTGTGCCGCACCTCGCTGCGCCAGCAGCACAGCTGCTACATCAAGAACAAGGAGATCTTCTGCAAGATGGACTACTTCAGGTAGGGACCGGGCCGGGGCCGCTCCGAGAGGCTCAGCCGCCGCCGGGTGCCGCGGGGCCGGGGCCGCTCCGGCACTGCCGAGGGGAAGGTTTGGAAAAGCTGCCGGGCTCCCCGGAGCAGCCGGGCGGGAGATGACCCTTGGGGCATGGGAAGAGAGGCAGAAAGGGAGGTTGGGGTGCAGTTGCCCACCCTCCGGAGGGGTTCCTGCCCCCCGGCCGTGGCTGTGCGGGCCGCCCCGAGCTCCCCGTCTCGGCGGCGGGAGCGCCCGGCTCCGTGGGTGCGGCGTGGCGGGGATGGTCCCCGCGGCGGGGAAACGGGGATGGGATGGAATGGCCTCGTCCCGGCTCTTGCCGGAGGGTAAATTGGTGCTGCCGGCCTGCGGTGCCCGGTGCCTTTGGGGAGCTCCTGTCCGAGCTGCGGCCCCGCAATCGCCGGAGCGTCCGCAGCGGGAGCGCGTTACGGAACCGAAACGAACGACGGGCGGTGGCTGCGGTCCTGGGGCTCGGGCCGGACCCGCACCCCCGGAGCAGCCTGTCCCGCAGGGAGGATGTTTTGTCTGCGTCAGTCTTTCTGTTCTAAACCTTAACCCACGAATTTTCCCCTAATTTGAGTGGAACGAGGGGATTGAGTATCTTGAGCTCCTCTCCAGGGTTTAACTAAACATCGGAACCCCCGCTCTGACTTTCCCCATCCTACCAGGATGAGGGAATGCTGTTTGACCGGAGAGGAAGGGGAATGGCGGGCAGGAAATGGGAATGACCCCGGCGGGGCGCAGGGGGCTCGGAGCATCCTCTGGCCGCGGCGGAGCTCGGGGCTGCCCCGGCGGCAGCGGGCAGGGGAGTTCGGGGGGCACCTCGGAGATTCCTCCGGTGGTTTTTATTAAAGGGTCTGCAAATACCCGATTTTCCGCAGCTCAGCCCCTGCCCCCGCCGGGCTTGGTGCGGTGCCGCCGGGGGTGCGGGGCTCGGAGAGCCGGGTCGGTCCCGGAGTCACGGAGCTCCGCGTCCTGTCCGATGGTGGTGGTTGTTGTTATTATTATTATTAGTTATTGTTATTATTTTTAAACTTCAATTTTCGATGATTTCACCGAAATGTCCCCCACTCCACATAGAAAGGCTCAGGGAGTCCCGTGGCCACGGTGATGTTTTGGGGCACTTTAAGCGTTTTCATTCATTTATCACCATTCTGGTGCCGTTGATGTGTGGTTTATTTTTGGTTTATTTTTGAGAGCGAATCTTTCCAAAGGCGGTTTTAAAGTAGCGCCGGGATCTCGAAATGACCTTCGAGCAAATGTGGCAAATAACAGCGTTGAAATTAATCTGTTTCGCGAACCCCCCGTCTGAGCAGCCCCGATCCCCTCGTTCGGTGGGAGCAGCCGGGCTGTGCGCGTCGGTATCGACGGGCCAAAGGGAAACAAAACGAAAATCGCGGAAGCCGCCGCAGGACGCTCCCGGTTCCTGCGGCAACCGTTCGGGGGGCGCGGGGGCTCCCAGCCCGCGCTCCGCAACTTGCCTTTTGCACTAAAAAGTGGGGATTTGGGGAGATTTTTTTTTTTTTTTTTTTTTTTTTTGGAGAATCTGAGCGGCGGCGCTCGGAGCCCGGCGGCTGCGGATCTGCCTCTCTCGCCCCAGCCCCGCGGGGATCGCTGCGACCCCCGGCCGAGCCCCGGGCCGGCCCCGATGCGGTGGTCGGGGGCAGCGGGCGGGGGTCGCTCCCGCGGCGGAGCCCGCCGGGCTGAGCCGCCGCCGTCGGTGCCGGTGCGTGGCTGCTCACCAGGGCTGGGGCCGGGGCAAATCTCCCCCGCTGTCCTCAGCCAGCTCGGCTCGTTGGCCGCTCCCTCCTGCACCCGCCCGGCCCTGGGAACATGCCGGCCGGCATCTTGTTGATTCCGGCCAGTGGGACTCAGCGCTTGGCGCAAAACAAACTTGACCCTTGGGATGGATTTTAAAAATTGTATTTATTGTTTGCTGTAGATGAAACGTGTGGGGTTTTTTTAAAGCAAAGCAGAAACCCCAGCCTAATGCGTGTGGTTTGGAGCCAAGGCAGATGGAAGGGGCAGAGGGATGCTCTGCACGAGCACACGGATGTTCTATCACTCCGGTGCTGGCTCTGACACTGGTGCTGTTGGGGGACGCTGAGGATGGAGGCTGACAGGCACAGGGCTGTCATGTCACAGCCCCACTGCCCACGGGGAGCATGTTTAGGCCTGCTCTGTCCGAGTGTCGCTTCCCTGTCCCCGTGAGGGGCTGTGTAGAGGTGCTGGCACTGCTGTGGCTCCGCGGCCTCATGTTCGTTTTTAAGCAAATGCTGCTGTTTCCTGTGTCTTGTCAAATAATTACGTTTGGCGTCCAAGGCTCCAGTGCTTCAAGGAGAACCAAATTAAAATTGGATCTCATTGAGCAGAACATTGTGTTCCTGGGTGATGCAGGGGCTGCTCATAGCCAAGCTCCCACAACTCCGGTCACCCCGAGGCCTGGCATGATCCCGATGTGATTCCTGCTGTGCCCCTCTGTGACCTCGATGGGCAGCCCACAGGCATGTGAGCATGGGGTCACTGGCCTGGCTGTGGCTCAGGTGGGCTCCATCACCTCAATCAATGCTCCAGCTTGAGCACTGCCGTGTCACAGCATGAAGATGCTCTCTGAGGCACCCGCTGCTCTGCTGGGAGATTGGGGTGATGTTTGGAAGCTGCAGCTGCCTCTGAGGGCTGCGTCTGGGGCTTCCTACAGAGTGGAACCAGGAGATATTTGGAGCTGTGAGCGGCCCTGGGGCTGGGTGTCCCTTGCCCTGTCCCCACAGGCAGGGATGGACAGCAGGGCTCAGGGAGCTGTGGCGTGTGAGAGCCAGGACACACCAGAGCGTCCTCCCACCTCTGCTCTTCCCACTCCCCAGATGATGCAGCCGCCCCTGGGGGAGGTGGGATGAGTCTCTCTGGGATGAGTCTCTCTGGGATGAGTCTTTCCTGGTAATGTTGTTGTCAGCTCTCATCTCCCAGGGTTAGCCTTTGTGGAGGGCCATCAGCATCTGCTCACTCAACCACAAACCATGCACGTGAGGTGTGAGCCGATGGCTCTGGGAGCGGTTGGTGATGCTCCTGCCTGTGCCACAGTGCTGGGCTTGGATAAAACCTCTGGCTCTGCGTCTCTTGCTGCAGTGCAGCCCTGCCACCATCCCTGTCCCTGTCCCTGTCCCAGCCAGGCAGGTGGCAGGGGCCATGCGGAGCCCCTTTCCTGGTGCTTCGTTCTTTGGGCTCTCTCTGCCCTGTGAGCTCAGGGCACTAATGCCGGTGTTCTGGTGGAGCTCTTCATTTGTGGCGGTGACGGGTTGGGGCAGAGTTTTCACAGGCATTTCCCTCCCTGTTCCTGCGGTGCTGGCAGCAGCGGGCCCACAATGATGGTCCCTGTGGTGGCAGTGTTGGATGACAGTGGGTGCTGTGCCTGGCCCCAGCTCACCCTGGTTTCTGTACAGCCCAACTGCTGCAGCAGTGCTGCAGACGGGGGTTGGCCAAGAGCTGCAGGCGCAGCGTCAGCGGTTGCCGGTGCCGCAGCCTGTGCAGCCCCGTGCCCACATTGCTGCTGAGCCTCAGCGTCTCTCTGGGTGCTGTTGGTGCCGTGGCTCTGTAGGGGACAGTGGCATCAGTCCCTGACTGTACTGGCTGCCCTGTTCCCACGAGCTCCCGCGCCTTTGGCAGCCCCTGTTCCACTCCCTGGGCACCGCCACCAACCCAGGGGTCCTGCCTGGCCCCAGGGGGGACTCCATCCTGTGGGTCTGGGGCCTCCTGAGCATCTCCCCCAGACCCCAGCTGGTGTGTGATGGGGGTGTGTGACCTTTCCTGTGCAGTGCCCAGTTTTCCCCATCCCCGTGCTGTGCTCCCCCTGCACAGGCTGGGATCCGAGCAGGGAGCAGCCATCACCACGTGCCATTAGCTCGGTGCACTGCCCCTCGCTTGATACTGCTCAGCAAGTACGACTGTTTACATAGCACATTGTTCAAAGTAATTCAATTTACAGGAATGATCTTTACTTCTAAATAAAAAATTAATATGGTTCTTTTGTTTGTGCGTTTATATAAACGAGCTGGCACGAAGTCAGTTTACAATGTTCCCATCTGAAGTAAATTAGTGAAGTCTCTTAGCTAAGTCTCTGTATAATTTCAGCACAGAAATGTCCTCTTTCTTTTTTTTTTTCTTTTTTGGTCAGCTATGGTCAGGCTGAAAAATTTAGACCCTTCGTTTCCTCCCAAATAGTTTTGCAATTAGTAATTCCAGCACAGGACGGTCTTTCTACATCTTGTTGAGCCCACGGTGGGCGGCAGCTCTGTGGTGTGGGGTCGGGCACAGGCAGTGTGTTGGTTGTGGTGGCCTGACCTGGGCTCTGTCACTGCCTGTCCACAGCACCTGGGGCCACACTGGACAGTGAATTGAGGGGTTTGTGGTGCGGGGTCTCTCCTGTTGCTCGGTGTGGTTGTTTCTTCTTGGTGTTTTGTGCCTGTGCTGAGAGATTCAGGAGCTGCTTGGGCAGGGCTGGCAGTGGCTCTACTCCCTACTGTGGTGGGGGCTGGTGAGAGCCCCTGGGGAGCCTGAGGTGGCAGTGGCAGTGCTGAGGCTGTGCTGGGAAGCGCGGTGGCTGCAGTCGGGGCTGTGTCAGAGCCAGCACCAGCTCTGCAGTGGCAGAGGACAGGCTCCTTTCTCCCCTGATGCTTTTGCCACTGCTCATTGCATTTATTTTTTTAAGCAGCAGCAATACTGAAATGCAGAAATCAAACCAAGGCTGTGCCTGGCTCCTCCTGGCAGGCACTAGCCTGGGGGTTCAGGGCCGTGGGGGCACATCTGCTGCTCCCCGTGAATCGCCCGCCCTTGGCCGTTGGCATGCTGGCAGGAATGGAGGTTTTCAGGAGTGCACGATCACACGGTGCAGGGATCCTGGCTGTCTTGTTGCCTCTTCATTGTGCTGAGCTACCTTCCAGCATAGCTCACTCCAGCACAGTCATCATCCTCTCGCAGCGATGAGACCTCCTCGATGGAGGAAAAACCAGATGCGTGCGCCCGTACGTGTGAGGAGAACACACATGGTTTGATTTATGGCAGTGGGAGAGAACCAGCTCTGACACAGTTTCCATCCGAGTCTCACACTGGCTGTTATCAGAATGAAAAATCCCACGGGCTTGGAAGCTGATTCACGGTGCTGCGTCACCTCAGCCCCTCGGCTGCATCTGGTGCTGCAGGGCTGTGGCGAGTCACACCCCGCTGCTGCCCACACCACTGTCCACAGCACTGCCCACACCACTCCCTGGGGAATGGCACCCATGGAACAGTTTTGTTGTATCTTTCCATGCTGTGGGATTCGGGCTGGTTCAGGGTGAGCGATGGGGTCAGCAGCAGCTCCTGCGCCCCAACATCACCCTGCCTGTCCTCACCCTGCCTGTCCTCACCCTGCCTGCCCTCACCTGCCTCTTCTCCCCCCCGCAGCCGGTTCGGTACGAAGTGTGCCCGCTGTGGCAGGCAGATCTACGCCAGCGACTGGGTGCGGCGAGCGCGGGGCAATGCCTACCACCTCGCCTGCTTCGCCTGCTTCTCCTGCAAGCGGCAGCTCTCCACCGGCGAGGAGTTTGGCCTGGTGGAGGAGAAGGTGCTGTGCCGGATCCACTACGACACCATGATAGAGAACCTCAAGAGAGCAGCAGAGAACGGTATGGACCCCCAGCACTGCGGTCACAGCCTTGCCCCGGGGACCATGCAGGGTGTCACTGTCCCCTCCCCTGACCCTCATCCTGGGGCGTCGGGGTCGGTCGTGTTGTTGCCAAAAAGGGATGATGGGTGGCCATGGGGTGGCTTGAGCACAAGGCCCTGGGCTGGCAGAGTGCTCACGGGGGTGGCCAACGTGCTGGCAGCACCTGCGGCTCATGGCAGACCTGCGTGCCATGGGTGGTACCGGGGACGAGTGCCTGGTCCCGCACAGCCCGGCATGCAGTGTGTGAGGAAGCTGTTGGGACTTTGAGGCTGTGAGTCATAAATCTAGAAGGTGGGATTGGCGATTTGACAAAACCTTCCCATCATTTTCCACCCGCCCTGCCCATCCTGGGCCATGCTGCTCCCAGCTGGATGGTGCTGGCCAGCCTCCAGTGTCCCAGTCGGGTCAGTGACACTGAGGTCACATGGCACCACAGCTCCCGTCCCCTTGAGCCCAGCCCCATCCTCCTGCATGGCAGTGGCCAGAGATGCTTGGAGGAACAAATCTGTGGGGTTAGTCCAGTGTAGTGCACAGAGAAACCGGGCAGTGCCACGGCATGTCCTATGTTGGAAAGTACCTCAGTGCATGGTGGGCACAGGCAGTGACACGCCGTGCCCCGGCCCATGCAGCATGTGGAAACCATTAACAACCTGACGTGAAAATAACATGTTTCTGTTTACTGTGTTTGAGTAAGAGAATGAAAACAGAGTGCCCAGACAGGCTGGGAGGGTCCCGGCTCAGGACGTGGCTCACGGCATGTTGGTCCATATGGTCAGCTGCTGCGGAGGCGTGAGGGAGGCGGTGGGGACAGGGATGGAGAGGGAGATGCCACGTGGCCTGGAGGAGCAGTTTGGTGCGAGGACAGCAGGATCTGGCACCAGGGAGCCTCACAGAGCTGTTACCCCAGCTGAGGGCTGGGATGGTGGGTTTTCTGCTGCTCGGAAGGACCTGCTGGTGTGGGCTGAGCACCACGGTGTTGGGCAGCATTGGGGCACCTGATGAGTGCCCTGTATGGGTACCTCTGTCCAAGTGTCCCCTGCTTTTGAGAAGGGGGTGGGATCACTTTGGAGAGCTGCAGTTGCTGTGAAGTTGGAGGGCCATGCTCCCCCCTCTAGCAATTACCCAGCAATTTCTTCTGCACATGAGGTTTTACATACAAGAAAAATAAACAGATGTTGCTGAAGTCAGAGTCCCATTCATCATCCGAAAAGAACAAGTCAAACTATATGAGAAAGTCCTTCAACTCAAGCCAAGACAATCACAGCCTGGTCCAGCTTGTGGAGCGAGCGCTGGGCTGTGCAGGCGCATCCTGGGAGTGGGGTGAGCGCCAGCCCTGCTCGGCCTTCCTCCCTCCTCCATCCCTCCTTGGTGCTTCACCTACACTGCTGAGAGCAGACAGGCATGGCCTGGGCTGCAGGGGGGACCCCAGTGAGGAACGAGGGACCCCAGCTCTGGCCACCCTCCCTGTAGGCTCACCCCGACACTGTGCTTGGCAAGTGGGAGGTCGGTGTCCCCCTGGTGTGTCCCCCTTAGTGTGGCTGCTGCTCAGGGCATGGGCACCCCAAGGCCGTGGGGACAGTGTTACTCCTTCTGCTGCTCAGGGACCCAGGAGGAAGAGGAGATCAGGGTGCTGGGAGGGTTTGGAGCTGCAGAAAGGAGCAAAGAGCCCATTGAAACTCTGAGCAAATGAAACGACTCATGGAAGCAGCACCGGTGGAGGAAAACGGGGTCACAGGGAGCAGCACAGGGCAGGAGTGATGGATGTCGGTGAGCCCAGCAGAGACAGGGTCCCTTCCAAGCCGCTCCCTGGAGGATGTGGCCGAGTAGTGACCACGAGTCAGGGCCAGTGGGACATCAGTGCTTGCCCTCACACACCACCTTGACATCCCTCTTCCTGCTGCTGTCTTCCTGTCCCTTATTCCCCAGGGCTTCCACCACTTGCTGCATTTTTCTTAATTCAACAGTAAACACTTTGGGGGAGGTGGTGTCTCCTTCCCAGTGTGCTGAGGGGCTCAGCAGCCCAGGGCAGCTCCCAAGGGATAGTGCTGGCTCTACTCTTTCTGCTCCCACTTGCAGCAAAGGATGCTGTGGGTGCCCCACCCTGCCAGGCGTGTTGTCCCTTGATTGAGGGGATGCCGTGGGTGCCCCACACTGTGATGCCACTGGCCGTGCTGTCCCCCAGTTGAGCAGCTGCTGCATGTGGGGGTGCCAGGTGGGCAGGGGAGTTTCTGACCTGTGGCTCATGGGCTTCTCTCCTGCAGGCAATGGGATCACGCTGGAGGGGGCTGTGCCCTCGGAGCAGGACAGCCAGCCCAAGCCAGCCAAGAGAGCCCGCACCTCCTTCACCGCCGAGCAGCTGCAGGTAGGGGGGCTGGGCCGGGGGGGCTGGAGGGGCTGTGCCTCCCCAGCCTCATCCTGAGCCCCTCTCTCCTCTCTCCCACAGGTCATGCAGGCACAGTTTGCTCAGGACAACAACCCCGACGCACAGACGCTGCAGAAGCTGGCGGACATGACGGGGCTGAGTCGGAGGGTCATTCAGGTGAGGGGCAGCTGGGTGGGCTCTGTTGGCTGAGCAGCCCCAAGCAGGGCAGGGAGGGTGCACCTAAAGGCTGGCACCAGACAGGGCTCACAGCCCCGTGGCCCCTCACTCCTGCACATCAACCCCACGACATGCAGCATCCAGCAGCTTCCTGCTGCCTCCCCAGCGTGTCAGCTCACTGGCTCCTGTAGCAATGCCAGCACCATTCTCCCTCTGTCTCTCTTGTGGGTTTTCTATTTGTTTTTCCCTCCTAGGATGCAATGAAACAAACCCCCGTGCAGCCCCAATAAATCACCAGGTGGGAAAGCTGCCCATTAGCACAGTGTCCTGGAGCTCTGTGCTCTGCCCCAGCTCAGGCAGCGCCGGAGCTCCCCTGGCAGTCAGTAGCAGTCCCTGCCATGAGCAGGCAAAGTTCTCAAGCTTCAGGAGGCATTGGGATTGAGAAGTTTAAAGAAAAAGGGGTTTTGCAGCCCCAGGGGACGTGGTGGCAGGGAAGTCCCCACACTTGTGCCGGGAGGGGAGGGAAAGTGATGCTGTAGGGACTGAGAAATGTCCCCTCTGCAAATCCCAGCTCATCATCCCTGCAGACAGCCCAGCTTTGCCTCTCGGTGACATTTATACTCATCATTTTAATGTTCTGCTGACATACTTTCTGCATACAATAAAAAACACAAATGATGAAAATAAATTTGGAGCTTTCATCGGGGATTGTTTTGTCAATGACACATTTAAATTTTGTGTGTGAAAATCTGGCTCGAGTGTCCATTACTGAGATTCTTCATTTAGCTAAAGATCAAGCAGGCTGCACACCAGGTGATTTTTTTATGTGGATATTTTTCAAAGGCGCTTTAAACAGGAAACAATTTGTCAAACGCTTATGACTGTTTCCTTCTCTGTGGTCCAGTGTGCTCAGCCTCAGAGAGCTGATCTTCACTCAGCCTTGGAGAAGGTTTTTACTCCCAGCTATCTTTCAAAAATTAAAGCATAAGAAACAAATCACCTCCTCAGCATAAAAAAACCCTTCCATGCATGTTTTATCTCTAGGATGTAATTCCCTAACTATTCCTTTAATTAGAAGCACTGAGATATGGTCAGAGGGCTCATACCTGCTGCTCACACAGACTAGGGCTGTGTCTCACCACAGTACCCTCCTTTCTCAGCTTTAATATTCTGTTGATGTGGGTTTTGAATATGGTACAAGTGTATTAAACCAATATTGTTTTCATCATCCTTAAAGTCACAACATCTCCTAATCTAACCTTCTGCTTGGTCTTGTCTCCCCTTGTTCCTCTCCTTGCCAATGCTCACATGTTTCCCAACTGATTGATCTCAGCTGTGCTTTTAGCCCAGGTGAGCTGGGGCTGCAGCCTAAGATTTAAGACCTTGAAAGGTGCTCCCATTCTTTGCAGAGGAGTTGAACAGGGACAGAGCTTTGGTTTCACTCATGTTCTAGTGGGTGTAAAATAAAGCTGTGGAAACCAGTGAAACGCTGGTTAGGGGCAGATTTCTCAGTTTTATTTCTTTTTTTTTTAATGCTTGGAGCAGACACCCACCCTGGGGTTGCAGTGAAGGACCACACTTCAATCCAGTTGTCTCTGAGTTGACACAGCATTTGCTGCTTTTGTTTCAGGTTTGGTTTCAAAACTGCAGAGCCCGCCATAAAAAACACACCCCCCAGCACACGGTGCCGCCCTCGGGAGCGCCCCCGTCCCGCATCCCCTCCTCGCTCTCCGACGACATCCACTACTCGCCCTTCAGCAGCCCCGAGCGGGCCCGGATGGTGACGCTGCACGGATACATAGAAAGTAAGAGGGGAGAGTGGCCGGCGGGGCTGCGGCGCTGGGGGGACTGGGGGGGCTCGGGGAAGGGCAGGGGGAGCTCCACCGGAGCAGGCGGTGGCACCACGGCACAGCACTGCCAGAAACATTCCTGTGCTGCTACTCCTCCTTGTGCCTGGTGAACTCTGCCTTTGGGATTTTCTGAAGGGCTGTTAATGTGGGAGGCTCAGATGAGAGAGGGAGGGGACAGAGGGCTGCTGCTCTTTCCCTCCATACCTCATCCTCAGAAAAGCCACTGCCTGGGTTTTACCTGGCTGATCCTTGGCCCTCCATGAGTTCTCTGTGTCATGGAGGAGAGCTGTGAGTGTGCCCTGTTGAGCTCGGTGCTCAGTGCTCTCCTTCCTTCTCCGAGCAGCAGAGTTGCTTTCCTTAACAATTTCAAGTGCTGGTGAATGATTTGTGAGTGGTGGGCAGCTTTGGTCATGCCAGGGTGGAGGCTTTGGCTCCGTGGCTCTTGTGAGGCTTCTCCCCTCCTATGGGCTCCTGCTGTGCCTCTGCCTGATCCATGGGGCACCTCTTGCTCCATGTGTGTCCCGAGCTGCTCCCGGTGGAGGCCTGGCCGTGCCGGCTGGAGGGCTTGTGTTGTTTGTAGTAACAGAGGCTGAAGCCTCTTCTCATCCACAGGTCAGGTACAGTGTGGACAAGTGCACTGTAGACTTCCCTACACTGCTCCACCAGTGCACCTCAAAGCAGACATGGAAGGACCACTATCTAATAGGGGTGAGAAGGTAATTGTAGTCCCTGCTCCAGGCTCTGAGGCCGACCCTCCACTGTAGCAAAGATTTGTGTAACATCATTGCCACCGCTGTCTCCTGTCAGCATCACTGCTTCTCCATGACCTCCCATGTGTCTGTCCTTAGTCTTGGTGGCCCTCAGTTGATGTACCCACTGTTGGTCAGAATGGCATCACTTTGTTCTTCACTAAACACCCCTCCTTGTTGTGAAGTGCTGCATTCCCTGAAGGATTCTCACGTCCTCCTGCTGACTCCCCTCTCTGGTTTCTCCCCTTCCAGTGTGCCCTGAGCTCCGTCCTGCTCCGTTCCTCTGTTGATAACAGAGCAGGGGGGACTGTCAGCATGTGCTAACTTCCCAGTTTTCCATGAGTTAACAAAAACAATTCATTTCTTGTGGATTGCAGTATTGCTTAAAAAAAACCAAACAAACAACTGGCTGTTACAATATCTGAAGCAGGAATGTTATTTCACAATGTCTGGCCAGGGAACAATATTGCATGTTGATATTTTTCTGTGCAGTGCTTCCAGTATCCAATACACGGCTTATTGGGGGCAAGACTTCTCAAACATGCTTAGGCTTGTAAGATTTTATTCAGAGTTCCAGTTTCAGTGACTTTCCTTTGAGGAAATACTGAGCCTTTGGCAACTCTTAGTGGTTTTAGCTTTTGTCTTTACTGTTAGAAGTTCTCAGCATCTCTCTTTTCAGCTCTCTCTCAGTGCAGCAGTGGCAGCTTATTGAGCTCTGTTTCAGCGAGCACAAGCAGGGGAAAAGGAAAGTTACTTTTTCAATCTAAATGCTACCATTTTTTCGTGATACTTGCACAGTGAGCTGGAGAGTTTTCAGAAAATATTATACAGTCCCAGTGCTGTCATTCAGAGAAGCTCCACTGCAGCAAGCAGCTCCTGATTTAAATGCAATTACTTGCTCACAGCTGTTGCAGAATGGGGTTCTCAGGACATGGAGCTGCCCCCCAACCAGCTCCTTTTCCACACAGTCACTTGCATGTTGAATTCCTGAAAACTGAAACAGCTTTTTTTTCCACATCCAAAATTTTTTAAAAGCAGTGATAGCTGAGATCCTGGGAAAACACTTGTAAACGCTAAGTCTCTGTTTCCCTTCTCCCATGGGGCACCCCCCACCCTCCCCTCAGGGTGCCCAGTGCAGTGGCTGGTGAGATCTGAGTTGTGACCAGCTCAGTGGCTGCTTCCCTTGCCCAATGGCAAGGGCAGGGGCTGTATTTGCAGAGCAGTGAGGTGAAGTGGTTTGAGGGGAGCCTGTGATGGTTATCGAGGGAGTGGGATAGAGTCAGGACCACTGGTAATGGTCTTTGTCTTTCTTGGTAGCTGCTGTATCACAGGACAAACTGGTTAAATCCTGGTTTTGGTGTGCTGCCCAGTTTTGTATGGTTTCACAGCTGAAGGTGTGCCCAGAGGGGCACCTTTCCTGCAGGCTGTGCTGCCACAGTCCCGTTACCTCCTGCCTGGGCTCCTCAGTGCAGTGCCTGCATCCCTGGCAGCTCCTGGGCAGACAGTGCTTCCAGAGGGGGTTTTCCTGGGGGGAAGTGGCTTCCACAGCAGAACCCATGTCTGTCCTGTTCTCCCTGAAAGCACATTGCCGCCGTGAGTGCTGTCTGTCTCCGAAAGCAGCTAACGCTCCGCTCCCGTTTCTCCCCCCAGGTCATCCTCTTTCAGTACTGACTGCCCGGACTCTTCCTCACCTGCCCATGGCCCTACCAGCACCACTGCCCCTCAGCCGCTGACACGGCGTCCAGCCCACGGCAACTGGCATCAGTCCCAGAGGAGAAGCTCAGATCCAGCACTCCCAGTTCTTCCCATTGACCAGCACCTCACGCCCACTCCGATTTCTCCAGCGACACTCTGTGTATGTGTGTGTTGAGTGCAGAGTTACATTTGACACTTGTTTCTTGTGGACTTGTAGAATGACCGTGAGTCTCTCCAAGGCAGTGCCAGACACAGTCAAAACTAGTGACTCTACTGTGCTTGCAAATCTTGCTCCCAAACCCATGGGAATACGAACAACCCAGAACACGCTGAGTCTCAGGGGGGTCGGTGATCACCTCTGAACATAAAGGAAGGAGGAATTTACGTGGTTTGGCCTGATTCTCTTTTTGCACCAGTGAAGCGGTTCCCGGACATCCCTCCTTATTTCCACTTGCATGTGTGAAATCTGAAATGGGCTTTTTGGCTCAGCAACTCGATACATAGACAGACCTTCCTGAGCCAAACTCGCAGGTAGCCGAGACTCCACTAAGTGGAAAACATGATGCCAGCTGGAAGTAGGCAGTTTTTCTTCCTCCTCAAAGTGCTTTAGAATCACATGTCCTTTGATCACTCAAAGGTAAGTAAATCTTAGTGTTTTTCCCCCCCGTTTTATAGGAGGGGAAACAGAGATGTCCTAAACGGAGAGGAACTGTGGGGGTTGGTGGCAGAGCCAGGTTTAGCACCCTGAAGTTTTTGATTGCTGACTTGTTCTTAGAACACTGAATATCTCTCTCCTCTCACAGCCATCTGCCAAATCTTCATTTTTTAAATTTTTTTTTAAAGTTTTTTACTCTTGTTCTTTATTAACAAACTACTTTATTTCCTTGGAGTCATATCGGATCACAAATGGGTGATTTCAGAGTGTACCTACACAAAACTCTCAGACTCTCCATACTCTGGGACTGGGAAATGTTCAATGGAAGGTGACCACAAAGGTGTAGAAATGTTCTGCCCTGCTGTGGACCCAAGTTCAATCAGTGGAAACAGCCAGGTAGAAACTGGAGACCAGTTAAAAAGGTGAAGACCACAGTAAGGCCAGCAGGAACGGTCACTAGCCGAGTGGACAGCGAGGTGGTGGCGTGTTCCTCTGTCTGGCAGCGTCACTGATTCCCTCTGCCCTCCCGTTCTCCCTTGCTGGAGTGCAGCTCCTGGTCCTGCCAGGCCCTGGGATGAAGGTGCAGCCCGGGAGAACTGCTGCCGGCGGGCTCACGGCAACAGCAAAGGAAATGCTCAGCAGTCTGGCCCCGAATCAGGAAAAAGGCTCCAAAATGATCCTTCATTGACAGTAATAACAAAAAGTAAACAAGTGACCTCTGCCAGCCCTTCTCAGTTTGCACCGAGCCAAGAGCAGGTCTGTAACAAAACCTGTCTCCACGCAAGCACACGGGCCTGTCCTGCTGCTAAGTGTCCGTGAGGCCGCGCGTCCAAGAATGTGAAAGCCCACCACGAGCCACAGCCAGCGAGGGGAATGACCCATCCATGCCCCAGGAGCAGGAGACGGGAACCCATCCCTTACATAACTTGTTTTTAAGTTGAACTGTGCATACACGTGTTTTCCTCTCTGGGAGATCCTGGATCCATCTCCAGCATCGGCCGGAGGGCAGCCGTCCATCCCGCTGCTCTGGCCAGCCCCTGTTGCACACATGGCAAGGCTTCTCCTGACCATGTCCCTGAACTCCCTGTGACACCAGCGGCCAGGCACGCGGCTCCAGCTGACTGGGAATGGCCTGTGGAGATGTGGATGTCTGCTGAGGTGGCCACCAAGGTCTCTGGGTTTGAGAAGTAGCTGAGTACGAGCACACGTTGATATTGGTTGGAGCAAATGCATATGTACACACACACTCTGCTCTGTGTGTGTGTGTGTACTGAGAGAGAGTGATGGTACTACCTCGGACAGCTAGGCCAGTATCTGTCTAATTGCAGCCAGCAGCTCTATCCCCAAGTTTTGAAAGCAGAGAGGGAATTAAGTCTAGAAAATATTATTGTCACCTCCTGACGTGCGAGCGACCATTCCCAGTGTGTGACATCCCCAGTGACAAGGCACTGCCACACGCCTGCCCTGACTGGAAGCAGCACTGCAGAGGTGTCCCCTCGGGGAGGGGACGGTCACCAGTCACAGCAATTTTTGTCCTTGCCCGTAGCAATGAGTGAAGGACTGGTGTTCCCTTTGTTGGCTCTTGGTGAGTGTTTGTGATCACAGGTTGAGGTGGTTGCTGGGTTCATGTGCAACAGCCTTGAGATGCTGGTGGGGGTCAGGGGGGGGTCACCGGGGCCGACTTGGTTCTCCATTTGTGCTCACGCATCCTAATGACCATTTAGTTGTGGAATTAGTGCCGTTATTTCATTTAAGACTGAAGGAGAGACTTCAGGCTGTAACTTGCCCTGACATCCCACAGTCCTTGAGATTTCCACAACTGTTTTGTGGAGGGAGAAAAGGGTTCGATGTGTTTCTCTTCTGTCTCGGTGGTGCAATGAAAGGAAAACTATGAAATATGTATCTGCTAAATACCAACTTGATCAAAAGAAACCCCACTTGTGAAATGTACTGTATAACCCAGGGTTTGTCACCGATCCCACGGCAGGGCCGGAGCGCAAGGCAGGGGCTGAGGGGGTGTGGGTGTTTCTCTCCAGGGACGTGGGCTCACTACAGACTGTGCTCGGGGCACTTCCCCCCATAAGTAGCCAGGAGCAGCTTTGCTAATTCAGAAATCAGGCTCTGTTTATATTAAGCCCAAATTGTTTGCAAAAACTGGAAGCAATTCAGCTTGTGCAGTTTTAGAGCTAATTATGTGTATGGAAAATACTCAACTGTACCAAGAATGTAAGAAATCTTCTAATTTATTCAATACATTGTTTCACAACATATTTCACACTGACTGTTGCCACTGAACCAAACCTTATCTCAGGTCATTTGCATTCATCTCCTGTCTGTGGATTAAAAAAAAAATAAAATTAAAGTCATTCTCATTTTCTTAGTTTATTCAGTAATTGCCAGATGGGTTCTGGTGCAGCAATGCAGACTCCACGCACTAAACTTTTCCAGTTGCTATTTACAAAGCCTTTTGCAGACAGAACCCACTGAGGACAGCCAGTGAAAGGCTCTTCACTCCAGTTTAATAAGGTAACTAATACGGCTCGGCTCTGAAGGTGGAATAGCTTAAGGTTTTATCACCAGTGATTTTTTTTTTGGCTCATGCTGGTTAACCCCAATGCCTGAGCTAAAGGTGCTTACACAACTCACTCGTTGGGATGGGAGTGGGAACCAATCCTGCACTACTATCAGTGATTTATCTGTAGGATGCCAACTAAACACCAGTTTTATTTCATCTGCCAATCATTTTGTTGTAGCATGTTGCAATTCTGCATGTCTTGGCTACAATGGTTAAAAAATTTTTTCTCTGAATGAGTGGACAGTCAAGACTAATATTTATTTTAAAAAAGTAAAACTAAATTGTAAGCACTTTTTTGTAAAACCAATGTCTGTTTTGTTACATACTTTTAATGTTGTGCTTTGTAAATGTCTTATTTGTGTAATAAATAAAGTTAATGCAAGTAGAAGTGCTGGCACTTACATCCAGAAAATGATGTAATTCCATTTTATTTTATTTTTAAATACTTTCTGGCTTACTAATCAAGCAGCAACCCACCCAGTTTTCCTCTTTTATTATTTTGTTAAACTCTGGCTTCAGGAGAGTTCAACAAACGTTCGTAGTAAATGGATATAATTTCCTAGTTAGCAAACCAGTCATTAAAGAATACCTCTGGTGTACATTATTACAATGATCAATCAATATCAAAGTACTGAGCAAAAAGAGAGGAAAGGAATTCACCAGGACAGCTAACTAAAATCTGGGAAAATAATGTTGATTAAGATGGATTTGAATGACTTCAACACCGAATCTGAGGCACTCCTTTTAACAAATTGTTTTCAGGCTTAATAATGTTTATACATACTACACTGCACACCTCTCAGGAATATTATTGTGAGTACAGTCGGCTTTTTTTCCATGGCTTTTGCTCAGCATGACTGATTAAATGATTATTTCCATTTTTGTTTGTGCTGACAGAGATGACAGAAAGATTATATTCCTGTCGAGGGAAAGGGTGAGACAAATCCACGAGGACAAATTGCGTTTATTGTGACTCAGATTACCTGCTTTGCTGGAATATTATTGTCTAGCAAGGTCTGGTTTATGGTTTCGGTTTGTGCTCAGCTCTTCCACCCCCAGCTTTCCGGCAGGTCCGAGTGATCCATTCATGCTCATCATCGTCTGAAAGGGAGATAAAGAGAGCGCTAAACACCCCCGTGTCAGAGCTGCTCTCTGCAGCGCTGGGGTCCAGCTCAAACAAGCAATTTTTCCTTTGAAAAGCAAATCCGTTTTTAGCCGTTGTCGTCTCTTAGAACACTTTTTTGTTGTTGTTGTTGTTTGTTTAAAAGATCGTGTGCAGTTGTGTGGAAATTTGTCAAGGCAGGAGGTACTGGATCTGTGGCAAGGACTGATTATTTGTATGTTTGAAAAGCTTAGCTTGGGTGAACTATGAGATTTGCATGTATAGATTTTATATTTTGTGTTTTGGGCAAAATATGCAGAGAAGCGTTGAAACAATCAGAAGTTAATATAGACCTTTTTTTTTAAAATACTATACCTGTGTGGCTTGTCAGTTTATGAAAAATGAAGGTAAAGAAAAATCTATAGTAAAACCCCAGGTTCTTGTCTTCCAGCTTCTCTTTCCATGCTGTTTTTGAGATGTACGTTGTGGCAGGTATCCATAAACTGATGTAGTGGCTGAGAGACACATTTTAGACCATCTTCTGTGTCCCTTGTTAGTATTCATGTCTGTCGTATTTATTTTGAGAGCATAATGACAGTGTGGAAAGAAAATAAAAGCAAAGACAATGTAGGAAAAAAATAACTGCCCAGCAAAGTTTGAATAGAAATTCTGTATATGATTACAAAAAAATACCCTGGTGAATGTTAAGTTGTGGCTTCTTAATTCCAGGGATTTAAACAGTCTTGTCTCCAGAAACTGTTCTGCAGCCATTTCTTTTGTGTTGGTGTAGGGGAAAGGAGATCTATGTAGTAAACCAGGAAAACCAAACTTCAAAGAGCTTTGGGAAAAAATCAAAGTATTACTTAAAACAATATCTGTATTTATTTTTATATAAGTGAAATGTATTCGAGCTGCTTCTTGTGTTTACCACTGTTAACAAATCCGTAGTAGGTGCTTGTGATGTGTGTTTCTAACCTGCCTCAGGCTAGATTTTAAGAAAGAATAGATGACTGGGAGGAGGATGGAGCTGAGGGGGCTGTGACCTTGTGCTGTGACCATCCTTTGGCACAGTCAGGCACAGTCCCATTTAATCACACACTGAGCACCCTGCTCGGGTAGGTCAGAAGAGATGGAGAAAAAGCATGTTCCCTGTAAGGAGTCGAATTTTCAGGGAGATCTTTTGATTGTGGAGTTATACCTTTACATTAAAGTGACAGAGGAGCATTTGAAATGCAAAAGGTAGGAAGGTCCCGGGAATGAACTGACTGAATAATCAGTTGTGTTGTGTTAATCTAAGAAGTAAAGTATGTGACAGATTCAGTCCGTTGCACAAGTCATCAAGCTTGGTGGTTAATCTTATTGATTGTGGAGGGGTTTGAATCAAGTCAGCTTTGTCTTTCTTTTTTTTTTTTTTTTCATGCTGCCCTCCCCTTTTTCTCACTCCGGGCCGAGTGAGGCGGGCACACGCCTCCTGCGCTGCTTGTCGGGTGCTGCTCACAGGCTGCTCCCTTGGCATCCTGGCACAAGCAGGGAAGCATCCTGGTGAAAGCAGGGAAGCACGTGCCAAGGCATTTGCTCCTGTCTGTCGGCAGCGCTCCTGTGCCACCCCTGACAAGCACGGCTCGGAAGGGCCGCTGGCTGGAGGGAGGTTTCCCTCGGAGCTGCTCTCCAGTTTGCGCTGTGCTCGCAGTCACTGGGGCCAGACAAAGTGCTGGTGTCCCGCTGACCCTCTCCTGGGTTCCCACTCAGGGTCACTGGCTTTGAGAGCTCAGTTTTGGTGGGGAGTGCCCACCTTTGAGCAGCACCTCAGTGACCGTGAGTGGGCTGAGGACACACCAGGGCTGCCATTGTTCCCACAGATCAGCCACAGGGTGCTTTAATGACTGGAAAATGGTCACAATTTGGGTAGAATGGCCAAGTTCAGCTCTCTCTGTGTTTCACTGATCTCTTTTTT